TCTTCTTCATCATCAGCCCTTATTTATAAAGCACTTTCCTTCCACCACAGGCCAACCAAAGTGCTGTTCACCTACACAGAAATTAAAACACTACAGACCCAATCGATGGCCAGCCATAAAACACACACAGCCATAAATAAAAACGAGATAAAATCAAGAGATGTTGATAAAAACTAAATTATTAGGTAAAAATACAATAATCCGGGTAATCATTTACGAATTTAACCAGAAATATCTAAACGCTATAACTAACTCACCTGCTGAGGGAACGCCACTGAATAAAGGTGAGTCTTCAACTGACTCTTAAAAACAGACAGGGAGGATGACTGGTCATAGCCTAAGTATGGATATTTAGGTGATGGCACGTTTTACACGCTTTTGAACTGTTTTCTAATCATATTCTGTTGTTAAAGTAAAGAAAGGTGAGAATAAATGTCTCCCTGACAGTTTTTACATTTTCCATTTAATCCGATCGAGTCGAGACCCCATCCGATTCATCGATGATCTAAAAATCATTTGTTGCAGCACTAATGACCAGTGTGTTATAAAGAGCCTTGGGGGGTTTAGAACCCTAGAAGGTGCTAAGTGATTTACAGACCATTTAGATCCACAATCCAACATAATGTCCCACTGAGAACATTTTAAATTTCCTTTAGATCTATCTGTAAGGTTTTCATCAATTCAATTCAATTCTGTTTATTTCTTAAGCGCCAAATCGGGACCAGAGTCGTCTCATGGACCTTCACACAGTAATCAGTACAGTACAGGTCATTTCATTAAGGCAATCAGAAAAAATGTTCCTACATAAGGAACCCAGCAGGTTGCACCGAGTCACTGACTAGTGTCAGAGTCTTTACAGCAACCCTCATACTAAGCAAGCATGCAGTGACAGTGGAGAGGAAAACTCCCTTTTAACAGGAAGAAACCTCCAGAGGATCCTGACTCTGTAAGCATTCTCAAATTAGCTTCAAACCTTTAACCCTTTACAGGGCCAGCGTCTATATTTAGACACTTCCACTCGCATCATAAATGACGTCGGTGTGTCTTTTCACGAACTCTTAGAATTACAGGATTTTCACCCAAACAATCATCAGAGATTAAGCTAGTGACGGTTAGCGCCATGGCGCCATTCCACCAATCAGTGCGGAGTATAGCTCACCAAATACTGATGTGTCTGCAGAGCCAGAAAACTGCTCGGTCTCTAAAACCAACAATGCTAGGTTTATGAAGGTTGGCTAGTTGTGCTAAAGAAGGATACATGTGTGTCTTAGCATGAAAATCAGATCTAGCATATTTGAACGTACGCCCTGAACAAGTTAAAGACGCTATGAAGATTTTTAGGTAAAATCTGTTGTTTTTTAGACATAATCTTAATATTCATGGTAACAGTAATAATAACAGTTATAATTAATATTGAATACATTTTACAGTTTTAAACTAAGATTTCTCTGGGAACAATTATTTTGCCACCAATCTCACAATCAGTGATGATGATGATGATGAACAGGAGGAAGATGACATTGAGGCAGATCATCAAATGTAAAATATTCTAAAATATTCTAAAAATCTAAATTTGATCAGAAATTGTATCTATTGAAAAACATCCTTTCAAAAATATTCCACAATAATCAGTTTTTATAAAAAAATATACTAGATTATTTAATAGTTGTGATATATTCTGTATTATTGAACAGTGATGCAATGTTCAAAATGAGCTAGATTATTCTAAAGTGTCTTATACTTACCTGTATTGTTCAAAAATATTGTTTATTTAACTTGCTCGTGTGTTTTATTTTGGGATTTCTTTTACCAGAACAGGGCCAACGTCCATATTTGATCACTTTGTTTTCTCTGATTTTCTGCATGAAAATAAATATTTTAGAAAAATTTTAACTGCAGAAATACACTTTAGTTATTTACCACAATAACACCCTGGGGTTGAAATTAAAACATTTAAATAAGGCACCGACCCTGATGTGTAAGGTTTTCATCAACATCTTATCTGGTTGAACAGGACAAGCGTTGCCCCCTCTGCACTGACAAAACCTTCAACTGCTAGGCGACACGGTCAAAGGTACCTCCTCACGCTCACGGGCAGCTCCAACCAGCTCGGTATATTGTTGCTTGATGCATCAATTAAAACAGGAAAAGAACACAATCTCAGATGTTTTATTACACAACCCAGCCCTTCCCGGTCTGCTTTGCAGACGGATTAATTGATTAATAATAAATGTGAAGCACTGTGCAGCTTGTGTCAGGTGCCCGAGTCGAGGCTTGGGCCGGCACCAGTCAGGAGGTCGGAACACCACACAGAGCTGCCTCCAGACTCCGTATCCAGTCACAAACACAGTTCAAAACAACGTTTATGAACACGTTGGACTTTTTAAAGCTGGTGTTTATAAATCCTGCTTGTGTGGAACTTCTGTTTACCAACAGCGGTTTCAGAATCGCTGCACCGCCTCCCCGTACGTTTCAGGATTGACTTTAAGGTTCTTCTAATGTTTTTTTGAGTGTCCTAATAGTCTTGGGCATTCTTACCTCTCAGAACTGCTTTTACCATATGAGCCCTCACAGCCTCTGCGCTCCTCTGGCAGGTGTCTCCTGCTCATCCTGAAGTCAGGACACACACTCACGGCGAGGCGTCCTTCCAGTGTTACGGGACTGTTAATGCTTTTAAACTGGGAATTTTGGGTCATTTTAATTCTGTAAAGCACTTTGAGTCTGACTTTTGTTTAAAAAGCACTTTATAAATAAATCTGATTGGATCGAAGATCTATAAAGAGCTCTCACAACGACTGCTGTTTAAAACAGCTTTTATAAAACATCTGGTGTGTGGGTAAATGGCCTCTGGTTGGATGATGAGCAAGTTGTGACTTAGTCCAAAGATGGCCTTGAGGGATAGGAAGAAGAGCTTCCAGCTGAAAACCTGAACATCTGAGGATCTGGCAGGTAGAGGAGGATCTCAACAACTAGGGATGAGCCGGATACTCTTTTCAGAAGAGTATCCGGTACGGATAAAGCATTTTTGACGAGTACGAGCATGAAATGAGTAAAACTCGTAAATATCTGTAATCGTGCTGAAGGGAAATCCTCATTGGGTAACTGACTGTCTTCCCGCTCTGTGATTGGTCAGTCAAATAGAGCGCCCGCCCCTCCCTACACACAAAGCTCTGCAGCCGGGAGCTCACAGCTCAGTCCGCGTCCAGTCCATCCACGCACACACACACACACACACACACACACACACACACACACACACACACACACACACACACACACACACACACACACACACACACACACACACACACACACACAGTAATGGATCTCTCTGTGCTTGCTTCACTGTTCACGTTTCTTCAGTACTCCCTATGTTTTCTTCAGTTTGCTTCTTTTTAAAGTTACTTTAAAGTTACTTTTGTCGTAACGTACGTGGTGCCTTTGACAAGACAGAGCTGAAAACGGCTCGTGCTGCGTCAGTCACTGCCTCCGCTCCGGTCGGGTTTTTTTTTCCCTTCTCTCTCTCTCCTCTTCCTCAGGATCCACTCCCTCTTTCCTATTCACTCTCTCTCTTTCTTTACATTTTTTAATCACAATTGTGTATTTTTTGCTCATTTTAAATATATTTTAATCATTTTCTAAATTCTTTTTTCTATTTTACATGTTTTGTTTTTGTGAAGCGCCTCGTGATTTTTATCTTGAGGCGCTATAGAAAAGATCTTTTCTTCTCTCTCTCTTAATTCATGCACTTAAATATTAATGTTCTGATTTTATTGAAAAACTTGTTGTGTAATAGTTTCTTTCCTATTGTGATCAAAAACATTTCATCTCAACTCTGAGGCTGCTCTGTAAATAGTTTATAAATAAACAATACACATAGCAACTTCTGATCAGACTTAAAATAACGTATTGATGGAAACCACACCCACTTCTGGGTTAGGCCACGCCCACTCCGAGTACAGATACAGATAATTTAGATGGTTGAACAGATACAGATACAGATAGTGGTGTACTCGCTCATCCCTATCAACACCCCCCCCCCCCCCCCCTCCCCACACACACACACACACACACAGCATGTAAGGGGCTCGACACACGGGAGGTGACAAACGACCGCGATCAGCGAAATTCGTCGCTGTCGCTTTTATTACCTGACACACGGGAGGCGACCCGCGGCAGCGGCCAGCGGCAAAGCCGTCTACGCGTTCTATTCCATGGCAAAATTGAAACTTCTGTTGTTTTGTTTGGCTGTGTCAGGTTGGAGGGAATTAAGGTTATTTAAGCGGTTCAGAGTTAATAAAGCGGTAGATATGATGTTTCACAAGGTGCTGCTAGAGTTATGTGAAATCTTACTTCTGATTTTACTATAAAACATAATAATAATCAACTTCTCCTCCATGTTTGCTCGGAGGTGTACGGAGCATCCTGTCCGCTCATTGGTCAGTGAATGAAACCTCCGTTGATTGGTCCTCGTCCGAGCGACAGCGATGAAAAGTTGAAAATGTTTCAACTTTCTGGGATCGCGTCGCTGGGTCGCCTGTGCACGACACGTGCACGAGCGCAAAATTTCACACGCACGTTTTTCGTGTTTCGCTTGGTAGGAGGGAGACCCGCGATTATCGCTTTGTCGCGCACGTCTCATTGAAAATGAATGGAGGAGAGGCGAAGTCGCCTCCCGTGTGTCGAGCCCATAAGAGCCGCTCAGCAGACGTTGGGAACGAGGCTGCGCTGCTGTTGCTGCGTTTGTAATTTCTGACTCAATTTAAAATGAGTGAAAAGGCATGATTAGTGTCTCATTACATTCCCAACTTGGCTCTCCTCCGTCTCTGTGTGACGATAATGAATCCTTGTGAAGATGGCCATTAAACCAACATCATCTAATGGCCTCTGAGGGGGATGGAGGAGGGTCGTTTGTAAGATGAAGGAAGCATCAGCAGTAATAGCCAGTGGAAACAGCTGGAGAATTAATAACAGACCTGAGCTGAGCGGGACTCTCTTACCTTTTGGGGGGCTCTAGGACTTCACCCAGCTCCTCGTATTCCATGTGAAAAACACCGGAGAAGGAATTCTGGAGCGAGAATGAAAGCAGGTTTATTTTAGCGGGATAGAGATGTGGTTACAGCTTCATGTGAGGCCGACTTGAGTTTAAAAACCAAGAACAGAACACACACAAGGTTTTGGTTCTGTCTAGTTTCAGCTCCGTTCCTCTGTGTTTGGCTGCAGAGACCAGCTTCCTCGTTCTGATCCAACTAAGTTATCAGAACCTTAAAATATCCAGAGTTTGCCAGAGACAAGGCACTGGGACTGAAGTCCAAGCATTAAAAATACACATTGATTTATTACCCATCAGGCCTTGCCAGAAGGAGAGTTTATTTCAACATTCCAGCGCTCCTTTAGTCTCCCCCCTTATAGGGACTTGTTTTCTCTCAACCTTCACTCTCAGTCCCTCACAAAGGATCATTTTTCCACTTCTAAGTGGGACAGGATGTTGAAGATACATGAGGCTCCTGCTGCTGAGCACAGATTTACACACCGTAGCTCTGTGGCATTGGTTTACTCTCATCCATCCAGGCGAGGGCAATAAAGCTGTTTTAAACAGAAAAGGGACCCAGAAGGGTTATGACATTTATTGGGGTCTCTGGGAAAGAGGAAGGTTTAAAACAGGATGACATGGAGTAAAGCACAACTGGAATAGAAATGGGAAAACTGGAACAAATCCAATTTATCTTTAGAGCCATACGTCAAAGCTTTAAATGACATGTGAGGACAAAAGCTCCGAGGCTCCTCTTCAGAGCAACTCAACTCCTAACAAGACTGATAAACTTCCTGTTGGTCATAAACAGACTGCAGCCGACTCACCCATCCCTCATGGGTGATGTTTAGGAACAACAGCCAACAAATGAATGTTTTTGTGCCTTAAAACCACGAAGCTGGTCTAAAACAAGCCGGCGTGAGGCCTTATAGCTTTACGTTTGTTGATTAGACTGTAAAATAATAATAGCATGCTTCACAGTTGGCTGCACTAACAAACAAGGCAAGGCAGCTTTATGTCTAGAGCACATTTCAAACACAGAGGCGATTCAATGTGCTTTACAATTATCAGGACATGATATGAAAACAACATAAATACACAAACTAAAATACACACAGATAGAATTACAGTTTAGAGCTAAATAAGGAGACAAAGTTACAGCGCAGATTACGGTGGAGATGACGCATGATAAGAAACGATGCTTTTAAATGCTGATGAGTACATGAGGGTTTTTAGTTTTGATTTAAACAACACTAGGGTCGGGGCAGATCTGAGGTCATGGGGGAGCTGATTCCATACGTGAGCAGCATAGTAACTAAAAGCATCTCCACCATGATTGGTTCTGACCCGTCGTTCTACCAGCTGATTGTTTCCAAGGGATTTCAGAGCCCTATTGGGTGTTTATACAGGAATGAGATCTGACATGTATTTTGGTCCCATGCCATTGAGTGATTTATAAACTAGTAGGAGCACTTTGAAGTATATTCTGTGGTTTACTGGTAACCAGTGTAGGGATCTAAGAACAGGAGTGATGTTCTCTTAGTTCTTGTTAAGACTCTAGCAGCAGCATTCTGAACAAGCTGCAGTTGCTTCACAGCTTTTTTGGGAAGACCAGTTAGGAGACCATTGCGATAGTCCAGCTGACTGGAAATAAAAGCATGAATACGTTTCTCTAAGTCTGGTCTGGACTTGAGACCTCTGACTCTTGATGTTTGATGAAGGTGATAAAATGCTGATTTAGTTATAGCCTTAATATGTCCAGAGAAGCTCAAGTCAGAGTCAATGATAACACCAAGATTTCTAACCTGGGTATTTGTCTTTATTCCCCTGGAGTCTAGCTGAGCAATAACATCCATTCTATCCTTCTTGTTGCCAAAGACAATAACTTCAGTCTTGTCTTTGTTTAGCTGGAGGAAGTTTGACTGCATCCAGTCGGGACGAGGGTGTAGATCCAGTTTCTCAATTGTATATTTTGATATGAACAACAGAGAATAGATAGCAGCTATCAGTCAAAGGGACTGGAAGCCCCAAAGCCAGCAGGTTTACGTTCATATAACCAAGACAGGGACTGACTGTGAAGGACCAGAACTGTGTTTGTATTATTTATTTATTGATAATCTCACATTCCACAATGGAGAATGTTTTAGATATTGCTGTTAACTGGTAGGGACCAGGGGCCTCATTTATCAAGCTTGCTTACGCACAAAACGGGGTCAGAAAACTCCATAAGCAGCTTTCCATGCAAACTTTGGGATTTAAAAAAAAAACGTAGCGGAAAAATGTGTGCAACTTTAAGTTGACTAAGGGCCTGGCTTACACACATTTTGGACATGGAGATCACCTGCAGCGACGCCTTCTCACACCCTAAGCGTCGAAAAATGACGCGCTGTGCCAGAGAATCGGTTTCTGACGCACGCGGTAAAACAGAGATTTGACCGAATTGTGACCTTTACCCTCTTGCTATTTAAAGGGGCATTATGGAAGTTTGACAGCCGAAACATGTATAGAAATAATAAATGTCTTCTTCATACATTCTCCTGCAATGCCCTGGTCCTGTAGAATGAGCCCTGGCATTTTTACTGTGATTGCCTGTTTTTCTGTAAAATCACAGAAAAAGAGAGATGCTCGGGTCGAGCAGGCTGCTTCAATTGATCAGTTGTCAGATCACACATAAAAAGCACTTTGGATTGCTACTATCTGTCTCACCGAGACAGATCTCAGACAGATCCTGAGACGCTCCTGCCTGACATATTTATTTTATTCACGGAAAAAAATCAGACTAGTGATTTCTCTTGGAGTTCAGTTTATACATTCAAACAGCACATCACTCTATTTAAACTACTTACATGTAAATCTATGTTATTTGTCCATCCATCCATTTTCATCCGCTTATCCGGAGTCGGGTTGTGGGGGCAGTAGTCGAGAGACCCAGACTTCCCTCTCCCCAGCCACTTGGGCCAGCTCCTCCGGGGAAATCCCAAGGCGTTCCCTGGCCAGGTCAACTCCGACAGCTTCTGGCGTTTTTAAAAAGTATCCCAGGGGCACGGTAAGGGTCTGAGATGTTTAGTCTATTTAATTTCTGACTATATAAAATGATTTCTTTGGTTTTAAAGTGTGAAGTAAACTCCGACGAAGTAAAATCCAAGCCGATCCCGTTCATTTTGTTTACATTTGTTGCCTGCCAACATGGCGTCTACTCTCTGAGAGTCACGTGACGTCCGGAGCTCTATAGTCCTCCTAAGTCAGACCAGTCTCACCTATAGTGACTCTCACCCGGGAGTCCGGGTATCAAATCCTTATCGGAAAATTTTTTGTATCCGCCACAGATCTCTCTGAAGAACTCACAGCATTGACGGCTTTGGCAACGCTGTGCCACTCCATGGATTTTCTCTTATTTGTTTTGCAGAAACACTTCCTTTCATTTCTACGCCTCACCCACAAGTAACTCAAGATCTGTTTGTGAAATAGCGCTTCCTTGATCTGCGGCCGCCATCGTCACTGGTGGAGCGCTGCAACGAGCCGGCTTATGTATTTGCATGAGATCCACAAGGCACCTTGGACTGACCATTTATGGCAGAAAGTGGGCGTGTTGAGGGCGGTATGTGATCCCGAAACACCTGAGAACATTTCTAGTTAGTTTCTGATTTATAAAGCGGAGATTGCGTGCAGCTGTGCGTACTCCATGTTTTATAGGTCACAAGCTTACTCGGCTTAAGTAAATTTTTTTGCTGAGCTTAAGTGCGGTTTTACTAAGGATTCTACGCAATGTTTTATAAATGAGACCCCTGGTCTTTTGTAGGTTTTATACCAGCTCTGATAGAGAGTGAAACGCTGATGGTTTTCACACAATGGCATAATCGGTGTGGGGTGAATTCTGGCAAACTCAGCAATCAAATCGGTGAACGCAGCAGAAGGGAGAAGGTACGAGTTTATTTCTAAGCTAGTTGAATCCAAATTTTGTAAATATTGCCCTAAATGAGCCCCAACTAGGTGTGTTCCTTCTTCCAACAAGTGAGCTGGGCTGGAACTAATGGAAACAACGCTAAACTGGCAGGAACACTCTCAGCTGCCACTTTTGTCCTCCAGTCAATACTCCCATTACTGTTGAGGCCCACCATTAAGGGACAAGTGTGATCAGGTAATGTAGGTGCAAAGGGTCAATACTAAACAGGCACACACACACACACACACACACACACACACACACACACAGTGTCGGGATCTGCTCTATCTGCCCCTGCTGTCTTGTGTCTGGTCTTGCCTCATTAAGTGTTCATTTAACTCACCTGCCCCTCGTTACCCTACCCACCTGTTCTCCTGATTACCCTCGTGTATTTAAACCCTCGGTTTGTGCTCATCTGAGTCAGGTCTTCTTCTTGTCTTCCCGCCTGCCACCATTCAATAGAACAGTTGATGTTAAACCTGCCGGTGTGCCTTTGGGCCTGTTTCCATCGCCACAGCCTGACACAGATCAATGCTTCCAAACAGGAACCACCTTCTCATCCTTACAATGGGATGAACCAATGTGGACAAACTCTTTTGTGGTGAATAGAGTCTGTTTGAGACTGCTTCCTGGATAAAAAGCCCAGTTCTGGTAAAACCCATCGGCCTGTGGGCCACGTTTGAGAAACTACAGACGCCTCGTCCTGACACCTGTATACAGAGGCTTGTCTGGAAGTTAAGGCCAGCAACCGTCAGCAAGGAAATGTTTGGTAAGAAAGGAAAGAGACAGCTGGCCAGACAAGCACAAGGTCAGGAGAGGGGCAACAGTCATGTCTATGAAGGTTGTGAAAGCATTCTTGTGATGACGGCCATGTTATACTCACTGTATCAGATTGCTGCCATAGAGAAACGTAAATATGAGGATGATAGAGTTTCTTTCTCACAGAGATCCCGACTGTCCAAACCCGACTAACACAATCTAGTTAATTTGAACCATAAAGGTGTGTGTGTGTATGTGTGTGTGTGTGTGTGTGTGCGTGCGTGCTAACCAGTGAGTCGTCGTCGGTGATGAAGACGGTGCAAGCCTGTGCTTGCATGAAGGACAGGATGGTTCCTGCAATCTTCCGTAGTATGACCTCCAGACACTGCTGCTCTTCAAAAATCAGACTGGCCAAGTCCAACAGCACCTACACACACACACACACACACACACACACACACACACACACACACACACACACACACACACACACACACACACACACACACACACACACACACACACACACACACGTTATACACAGGTCTGTGCCAGCTCAGACACAAACCAGCAGAAGGTGTCCATGCCTCTCACCTGATTGCGTCTGTTCTCCAACTGCGACGTCTCGTACAGCTGTGCGTTGTGCAGAACGATGCCTGAGAAGGTCAGATAAGCGGAGAAGTCCTGTCGGATAAGACAAGGAGAATATCTGAGCTCCGTTAAAGGACATGAGCAGCAAGAAAACACAAAACTATCATTTTTCTTGGTGTAAAAACAGTAAAATCACCCAACTACACATTCGGTTATGTAAAAACTTTACCTGAATGACATATCTAATTGTGGGGAAATTCACCTGAGCCAGAGCTCCAAAAGGGGCGGGGCTTTATTACAAAGCAGTTTTTTGCCCACTACCAAAACCTACAGCAAACGTAGAAATGTTCCTGACCCATGTAACAGAAATGTTAACAGATTGGTGCTTTCATGTGGTCATCTCCAACCTCCCTCTAATAGCCAAAATCCTGGAACGTTCAGTGGTATCTCAGCTAACTGAATGTCTTCATTCAAATCAGCTTTTTGAGACCTTTCAATCTGGATTCTGCTCTCACCACAGTACAGAAACGGCTCTGATCAAAGAAACGAATGACCTCCTGGAGGCATCAGACTCTGGATCCCTTTCCATACTCCTCCTCCTTGATCTTGGTGCTGCCTTTGATACCCTTGATCATTCCATCCTTCTACATCATTTGCAATCTCATGTTGGTGTTACTGGTTCAGCCCTCTCGTGGTTCACATCTTACCTCTCAGACAGATCCCAATTTATCTCCTTAAACAACTGCAGATCTGATATCACCCCAGTAACCCATGGTGTCCCTCAGGGCTCGGTTCTTGGTCCCCTTCTCTTCATCATCTACATGCTACCCCTTGGGCATATCATTCGCCACCAAGGACTCTAATTTCACTGCTATGCCGATGACAGCCAACTCTACCTATCTACAAAAAACATCCACTACTGTCTGCACTATAACAAACCGCCTCAATGCCCTAAAAATCTATATGTCTACAACTTTTCTCAAGCTCAACTACAGTAAATCTGAGTTAATCCTAACTGGACCCAAATCCCTTCTCTCAGTATTGATGGTTACATAGTTTCTCCATCCCCTCAGATCAAAAACCTGGGAGTCATTTTTGACCCTTTACTCTCTTTCCTACCACACATCCGTCATATCACTAAAACAGCCTTCTTTCACCTTCAAAATATTGCCCGTCTACACCCTATTCTGTCCTCTACTGCAGCAGAAACCCTCACCCGTGCCTTCATCTCGTCTAGAATAGATTACTGCAATAGCCTACTCTATGGTCTTCCCTCCACACACAATAAAAACTTCAGTATGTTCTAGACTCAGCTGCATGGCTCCTCACTCACACCAACAAGAGAGATTACATAACCTCGGTCCTAAAAAGCCTTCTTTGGCTTCCCATTCAGCAGCGCATTCAGTTCAAGATCTTACTCATCACCTACAAGGCCCTCAATAATTTTGCCCCTTGTAATCCATCTGACCTTCTGCGTTTCCACCGCCTGCGTCTCAGATCTTCTGCTTCCAACCTCCTCTCTCACACAGTAACTTGAAAACATCGCACCACTGAGGACAGAGCTTTCTCTGTGGCTGCTCCCACCTCATGGAACGCTCCCCCAACATATTCATACTGCTGACAACTCACCTGTTCAATCAAGCATTTAAAGCCTGTTAGTTTATTCTACTGTCTCCTTCTCTCTGCTTGTATTGCGTCTTTGAGTAGTGGTTGAAAGTGCTAAATAAAGCCAATGCATTATTATTGTTATTAACATTTCATACAGTATGTTTGATGATGGAGTCATAAACTAGCATGCTCCTCTGCACTAACCTTTTCATCCTGCTCCGTGAAGGCGCCATCCTCCCCACACTTCTTGTTAATAGCCTGAGCGACTCCGACAACCTGCAGGAACAAAACACATCATAAAGGACAATAGTATCCGTCTTCTCATATAAACTTACAGTTGGAACCGATTTTTACAAAGATTCTGAAAACGAGTACAGCTTTGCTGCTTATTCTGGTTTTCCACAATCGGCCATTTTGCTTTTGTTCCTCTGATCTGGAACATCAGCACTCTTGGAGCATACAGCTGTTTAAAAAACGGAAAACCCTTTCTCGTGTAATAAACAATTGTTGTGATTAACTCGGGCTTATAATGAGACTATTATATTGTTAGATTTTAATATTCTACTAGGAAAAACTTGTATGATGATGATTACATCTCTTCTCAGTTTGCCTCCATAGACAAAGACCTGCACTAGATTAGACTTGTGAATGAGTCTGAGTTTATCCTAATGAGCTGCTGCAGCGTCACAGAAAACACAAGCTGAACAAATCAAAAGTATCCCAAACGTTCAGCCTGAACACCATTTAACACTAAACTGTTATTATTGGTCAGCTGAGCTCGACTAAATGAAAAAGTGTTCCCTAGAGCGGCGTGAGAGGAAATAGTAGAGAGCCACTGCTGTTAAATTAATCAGCTGATTCTGGATGATGTTTTCTAACGCTCTAAAGAGGAACTAGGCAGTTATGGCCTACTTTTAGCACACCTAGTGACTGGTTGTAGAACTGAAACCAAAACCTATCTCCTCGCTGTGCATTTGTCTTTTAACACCTTCATCTAACATCTGAAACGTCTCCCCAGCCTTCCTTAGTGCCTACAGGAGCGGATCATCACTAAATCAAACTAATCAGCTGTGTTCGTGATCTAAAACATGCAGGAAACATGCTGGAAGCAGACCGCCGCGCCAGGTATGTCAGCTCCATTTTTTTCTAAGTCCCAACGCATCAGCCGCCAGTCTGCAGTTGCACACAGTCACCACAGGGGGCGATAGGGGCTGGGTGGCCTTTCATTAACGCTGTAAAGGGTCGTTTTAGCACAAACTGGCTCAATGAAATGATTTTAAAATATGAAAAGTGTCCCTTTAATTCCTCTGAAACACAAGAGTGACTGTTGGATCTTTGCACTGGAAGGCTTAACACAAAAGGTTCTGGTTGGCGTAAATGACAGCTGACAGTTATTGTGGATGGCACATAACGGTGTCATCCCCATGAATAAGCTACTAGATATTATTAGAGCTAATATCATCTTTTCATAGCTCCATAAATCATCTCTTTTACCCTTTAAAACACCCAACAAACCTGTTTTCACTTTTTCATTAGTGATTTTGAACTCTGATCCTTTGTAATCATCAACAATGTAACGTCCAGGAATGGTCAGTTTTCACCTACAGATTGGCCCGCATGCCACCGTTCATCTACAGACATTCTACCTTCCAACAAGCCCAGAAGGTTCTGCAGCTCTGAACACATGATAACTTATTGTCAACATCATGTTCCCTCCTCAAGGTTCTTCTCTGCCAAGCCTGTCTGCTTATCTAGGCTGCCCTGCACAGAATAAAGGACTGAACCGTTATAATAGTAAATAATCATATGGTCGAATGAACAATAATGGTTGATGAATAATAATAATGTTTTGATTCATCTGTGCTTAAATTAATAAGGTTGATTAATCTGTGCTTAAATTAATAAGGTTGATTAATCTGTGCTTAAATTAATAAGGTTGATTAATCTGTGCTTAAATGAATAAGGTTGATTAATCTGTGCTTAAATTAATAAGGTTGATTAATCTGTGCTTGAATTACTGAAGTTGAAATGAATATTATTATGATGATCAGTAATTTTAGATTTAACAAGTGAATCATTATCTACACTCATGCACAATTTTCATTAGAGATAAGTTAAAGTAACGTCACCGCACATAGATATATTCTTAGCCGCAAATCAGAGCATCCTGTATCTGAAAGAAGGCGTGATGTTCTGTGGGTTTGTTTGTTAACACCCCTTAACATGGCACGTTCCGATTGGCCAAGTAAATCATAATATGAGAATATTAAAACAGAATCACTGGGGAGTGATTCAGCATTCATTCATTCCAGCATTCTGTGAGATTCAGCATCCTGTTAGTGGAGCTAACTCTGACTGGCCATCGGAGGAAAACTCTCTAGCCACCGCATCTCTTGACAAGCTTTCGACAAGCTAAAAGCTGCCTACAGCTGACAGAGCAAAACGGTTCCCTCAGCTATTCAGAAACAGCTGTTCTAGACGCAAACGATTTCATCTATCTGTTGTGATCCGGGAGACGACTGGACCGACCTGGTCATACTGCGGTCTTTTCTACGAACTTCGGTAACTTGGGGTCACCCGACCCCCGACATCTCAGATCCGAAAGGGAGTCTCCTCAGGGGTACAGTGATCCCTCGCTACTTCGCGGTTCGTTTATCGCGGATTCACGACTTTGCGGATTTTTTTGGAGCCTTATTCAAGGAAATTTGCCGACTCGCAGTATTTTTCTATGCGAAATGTCAAGAAATTCCTGTTTTTTTCATCAATTTCATCATAAAATGCACTTTTTGTAATAAAACTATATAAAACCAAGTAAAAAAATGTTTCTTGAGTTTTGTCCACAAAAAGAGAATGTGATCATACGATAATTCAATATAGTACTGTATGTCAGACTGGTCGGCTGGATTCGGGAGTTGAGCTTGTAGGGAGCGCGTGGTTTCACAGACGCGGAAGTGAGAGTGTCGGTGAAACGCCGGCTCACGATTAATCTAGGAAACCCCCGAGCGTTTGAGCGTCAACAAAGTGACACGGAAATGCCAGACTTTCCAGAAGTAAGTAAGATAACTTACTATGAGCTGATAGTTCGTGGGATGGATCGGTAGGTTGGAAACTCTGATCATGAATCTGAAGAAACGATGACTGAGTGGTGAGCTGGAAAGGCGACTTCCGTTTATAGCCGCAGTTTGTGACGTAGGTGCGACGTGGAGGGAATCCCCGCGAGGGGCATGCTGGGAGTCCCTACTTTGCGGATTTTCACCTATAGCGGCCAGGTCTGGAACGCATCTACCGCGATAAACGAGGGATCACTGTACGTAGAACACAGCATGATTGCATCTGATGCCGTTTTGATAAGAACCAACTTCATAGTTTAATGCAGACGAAATTATTTTCACACCCAGAACTCAGTTCTTCTAGATGCAAGGTTCTGATAAACACACACCATTCAATCACCATACATCACATCCCATCCACTTAGATTCATCCATCACAGTAGTCTTGGTTAACTTGTCATGTTTTTATTTGTTTAGAAAATAAATGTCTCAACTTTTATCAACCTGACTCTGTCTGAATTGGGACAGAGTGTTTGATCCCTGAAAAAACAAAGAATCCTAGAATCTTCTGATTAAACATCAAAAGACCAAGCAGGTTGATGTTCTATATTTATATAAAATATCACAGCTTATTGGTCATAAGTAAAGCTTAAAAGCAACAATATGTACCCCCTACAACACCAACCAATAAAGGCCAATCAGCATTAATGTGGTGTGGCGCATAAAGCTCAGTGTCACCTCACCTCTCCTCTGTGGTTCTTGATGGGCAGACAAAGGATGCTCTGGGTCTTGTATCCGGTGATCTGGTCCACTTCTGCATTGAACCTGGAGTCCTGAAAGAAGACCCACACAATGGTCAGTTCTGTGAAACACCATCAGTTCAGAGTAAAAGCTCAAAATATGACTTTTATTTCTGCACTTATTTTCCTATAAAAGACCGGCTAATTGCTGTGAGTCTGGACACAGATGGCCACACCATTCTAACGGTGTTCGCCACAGAGACGAAGATCCATGCGTGTTGCTTTCATTTAGCACAAGAAAGTCAGATTTTCCATGATGCATTTTAGAAAAACGAACTGGAATTATTCACACACACTTCAGCCCAAACTCGTATTACAGTGGTGTTAAAAGCAAAATGCAATGCACGGTTAACTCCAACTTGGACCACGCTGGTTTTCCAATGTGAGACTGAAATACGATCAAGCATCTGTGAATTCCAACTGTGAATTGGAATGTTTATTATGTGAAGTGCCTTGAGACGACTCTTGTCGTGATTTGGCGCTATATAAATAAACTTGAATTGAATTGAATTGAATCTGAATGAACTGGAATGCAGGAGGAAACGCCCGTAGCAGCGACGCTGGCTTCAACCAATCGTGAAACAGAAGAACCTAAAGAGAAAGCCAGGTCATTAGAGGTCAGAGTTCATCCCCAACAACAGCTTTCATTCTTCCTCACAGCTGGAACTGAGATGGCTTTGGGTAAAATAGGTTTTGAGAATAACACAAATATTAAATATGCCAACGTTTCATGGTTTGAATTCTTTTCTAAACACAGTGTAGAAGATTTGTTTTCACCTGTGATTGAGACCAGAGAAGGAAGTACCGCCACCAACATTGACAGTGCTCTGAGGAAGGCTACAGCGTTGGCCAAAACTTGTCCGAAAAAAAAGGTCAAAGCAAATCTTCTCCTATGCTGTGTTTAGAATTTTTAATCCAAAAACCCACCTTGCCTCGACACATACAACTACCACCATTTCTCTTACCAACCGTGTCACCAGCCCGGCGTGATACTTGACTCTGACTTGACAATGTCGCCACAAGTCAATGCCATAGTCCGATCATGCTTCTATCATCTTCGCCGCATCTCCAGACTCAAGCCGATCCTAAAGAGACCGCATCTTGAGTCGGTCATCCACGCCTTCGTAACCTCTCGTATTGACTACGTCAACTCCGTCCTAGTTGGCATTAACGGCTACCACCTTAGACGGCTACAACGAGTCCAGAATGACGCTGCTCGTTTTCTAGCTGGCTCCGATTGTCGCTGTCTGTCATGTTCCCGAGCCGAGGTGAGTGCTCCTCTTCCAATCCAGCCTTCTCTGAGCTAATTACCCACAGGTGAGGAGCGGAGGGGGCTGCGGCTGCACAAGATTTCAATCAGGAACTCTGGTATAAAAGGAAGATGGAGACACCTCACTACGCCGGATGACTGCTCCAGTTTTGGTAGCCCCAGCCACTCGTACCATTTACTTGTTTGTTCACTTTGACTCGTTTGGAATATTAGGATTTTGAACTTGGACTGATTTTGGATTACGCTTTTGGACTGCCCTCACGTCTGGTGTTTGTTTGTCTTATCTCAGGATCTCCACACACCCTGCCTCACCCTCGCCGTTTGAACTCCGGATTATCTGCACCACGTCCCATCCTCCTCCGTTGTTCCTGTCTGGACCCTCTCTGCTACCTCACCTATCCCGGAGCGCACATCCTCTGCCCAGCGCTCGCCTCGGCTTCCTCGCCCCCCTCGTTCACCACGAATGCTACATGGGCAAGAGCTGTACAGCTCATTCCCCACTGGACTTCCCAGTGCTACTTCTGTTCCCGTTTTCCAAATAAAGTATTTTTCTTTAACTCAACCAGCTAGTCGAGTTGATTCTGCATGTCTTGGGTTAGACACTTACCTCGAGTCATATCACTCCTATTCTGGCCAGGCTACACTGGATCCCTGTACACTTTCATATCATGTTAACATTATTGTTTCTATGTCCTGCTGTCTCTGGAGGATGGACCCAAAATTGTCAGTGGGACAAGGGGTTGGGTCGTTTCCTGGACCCAACACCCATAGTGGCCTACGCCACACCTGCTATGCTGCTCCCACTACTAAAATCTATTTAAAACATCATTAATCTTAACATTAACCTTTAACGCACTCAGTGGTTCGGGGCCATCATACATCCGTGATCTGTAGAGTCAGTACACTCCGCCCCTACGTTCTGCTGCCCAAAAGCTCCTGGTCGTTCCAGAAACATCATACAAAGCACGTGGTGAACGGGCTTTTTCCCACGTGGCACCAAAACCTTGGAACGCCCTACCACCTCACATTCAGGCTGCCGACTCACTGGTTGACTTCAAATCACGCGTAAAACTTTCTGCTCATGACCCTGAGACAAACTCTCCACATCACTCACTGATCTCTGACTGCTGTCACCTCAGCCGACGACTTACTTACTCGTTTTTATCTCAAAATAAAGTTTTGTATTGTTTTGTTAGTATATCCACTGATTTAGTTTTAAATGCATTAGCTACTGCCAGGTTCTTGTATTTTTTTTTCTAAGATTTGTACAAATTGGGCCCTTTTTACTTCTTGTGATACTTTTTCAGCACTATTGTGTTTTTTGTAGCGTGGCCCACCACTGTTCTTTATGGCCTTTGACCCTCCTGTTCAGCACTCTGGACAGCTGAAATGCTGTTTTTAAACGTGCTTCATAAATAAATGATGATGATAGAAAAGAGTTACAACAATAGAAGGATTACACAGAACAAATGTACAAAAGATCCCAATGTTTCATTACTCAGATTGGAAAATTTCACCCTAACTTACAAACTCCCTCATAAATTTACCTACAAACGTCAAAGTCAGTCCAGCAGCACCAGTACCTAATCGACCCCCCAGAGGAACTCCTCCCAACATCCAACAGCTGTTTGGTGATGTCTTTTGGGGCGACGGTGGCACAGGAGTTAAGTGCTTGCCCCATAATCAGAAAGTTGCTGGTTCGAGCCCCGCTCAGTCTGTCGCTGTCGTTGTGTCCTTGGGCAAGACACTTAACCCACATTGCCTGCTGGTGGTGGTCAGAGGGACCGGTGGCGCCAGTGCTCGGCAGCCTCGCCTCTGTCAGTGCGCCCCAGGGCAGCTGTGGCTACATTGTAGCTCATCACCACCAGTGTGTGAATGTGTGTGTGAATGGGTGAATGACTGATTGTGTTGTAAAGCGCCTTGGGGGGTTTCAAGAACTCTAGAAGGCGCTATATCAAATACAGGCCATTTACCATTTACCATGTCTTCTCCAGCATGATGGAGTTGGTCCAGAAGGCTAAAGTCAGAACGAAGTGGATCAGGAACAGAACATCATCATGTTGGGTCCAGGAAACGACCCAACCCCTTGTCCCACTGACAATTTTGGGTCCATCCTCCAGAGACGGCAGGACATAGAAAACCACAAACTCTGCCAAACTCAACACTGATGGTGAGCTTCATCAGTGTGGATCTGGTGCTTGTACAGGCATCATGTAACTGTCATTAAAAACTTCAATGTGAAATGGTGTAATTCTGCTTCCATAAAACATCCAACAGAACATCTAAAATCACCAAAGCAGCACCCATAGTGGCCTACGCCACAGCCGCTCTGCTGCTCCCACTACTAAAATCTATTTAGCAACTACTGACATTTGCAACGTGGACAAATGTGTCTGGTACACATCTACGTGTGATACTGGGAACCTTGTTTTTACTGGTTCACAAGCTACCGCCGAAACCAAATGGCACCATCAGCTAGGGTTGCAAGGATTCACCGGTTTGACTATTAACCACGGTGTGAAACGCTGCGGCTAACCCACCCTAAAGACGTCTCCAACACAGCAAATAAAAAAGAAATAGATCCAATTAGCAGACCAAAGTTAAACTGAAGGAGCGCGTGCAGCAGAACCGGCATCAACAGCCACCGGGACGCTCCGTCTCCATCTAGGAAGCGCTTCAAGTCTCCTGTGAGGGAATATTTTAGACTCCAAAAGCTGCTAAAAGAGAAATTCTGAACGACGTCTCGTCCATCTGCAGAGCCGGCAGAAAAAAAAGTTGTGACACTCTCAACTTGTTATCATCTCTGAGATTATCAAGCAGACAGATTAGCTCCAGTTGAGTCAGATTATGTTTATTATGAACAGATTAACAGTAATATTAGAACAATCGAGTGAACAACGGTTCATATTGTGTTGTTCTACTTTTCCCCTGTACCAGTCTACAACCAGCTGTATGGCAAGCCATTTTAATATTTAATCAGCAACACCTCTCTGTAATTCCTGTTCTACATAACAATAATATAATTTGTCCAGGTCTAAATAACAGCATCTTAATTGGTTAAGGTGTCTCCATCCTTCAGTGCTAACCCTGACCAGTTTCACCTTTTTGTCTTTTTACAGAAACTCAAAAAAAGGCTTTTAGGCAAATATAACTAAAGGTGTGGAACACTGAAAACTATTTTTAATGATTATTTCTGATAATCAGTCACTCCGAGTGTTTCGTGCAGGCTGAACATGAAGACAGTTTTCTACACCTATCTCCTGCGTCAGCTTCTGATAGAAAACAGACGGTGAAACTCTAGGATGAGAACATCCTGACAGTTCTACGTCACACTGTCACTAACATTCATGGACTCGCCCATCTGGACTCACGACGGGGAAGGCTGTTTGTTTAGCGTCCAGGAAACAGCAGAGAGCGTCTCAGCTAGTAGAAGCTAACTGTTAGCATTAGCAACTGCGCCACACCGCAGAACTCTTCCAAGATTTTCAAGTAAAATCTCTGAAAAGGAACAACAGATATTTCAGGGGTTCAAAAACTTTATAGAACGTAATCATGCCTTTTATCAATAATCTATAGAATGTGTGTGTGATTTAATTATGTTAATACAGACGTGAAATCAATTCATGTACAGGGAGTGCAGAATTATTAGGCAAATGAATATTTTGTCCACATCATCCTCTTCATGCATGTTGTCTTACTCCAAGCTGTATAGGCTCGAAAGCCTACTACCAATTAAGCATATTAGGTGATGTGCATCTCTGTA